AGATATTGATTTTTCTTGCTTGCTATGCATTTCAACAAGTATTCGTTTGAAAAATATTTTGTGCAAAACTTGCAATCCAACTGGCATTGGTCTTTGCATGGATTGCTGTGGCAGTGCAAATTTGTGCGGAGGGTTTTGGCACACCAATGAAATAACAATAAGAACCGGGAATCACGAGATAGATGAATTTATTTGGGAAGCAAAGGAGGCAAAACCATCTTTAGAATGGATCAACTTTAAAGAATTCTTTGACAAAAAATATTCAACAAAAGGAGGATTCGATGGAGTTTTTTCAGGAAAATGGAAAAATGACTTGATAATTCAATTTCCGTCAAATCATGCAATCACCTTGCTTGATAGAAATTATCCCATCTACAACACCGCCATGATCGCTTTAAAAGACTTGCAGGATTCAAAAATTTGTTTTACTTGCAATGAAAAAGGATTCATTGGATCTCAATGCTTGAAGGATGGATGCAAAAATATAAAAAAAGATATTGATTTTTCTTGCTTGCTATGCATTTCAACAAGTATTCGTTTGAAAAGTATTTTGTGCAAAACTTGCAATCCAACTGGTATTGGCCTTTGTATTGAATGCAATAACGATAATGATGCATTTTTTGAAGAGCAATATTGGTGCATGCATATGCATCCTAATGAAATTAACGAAGATGTGAAAAAAAGAACCAGAAATTACGAGATTGACAAATTCATTTGGGAAGTAGAACAACTTGTTAATGATTTGGAATGGATTGATTTTAACGAATTTTCTGCTATTGAATATTTGGCAAAAGGAGGATTTGCAGAAGTATATTCAGCAATTTGGAAAAATCACCCTTCGAGTAAATCAAGAGAAAAAAAAGTTGCTTTAAAATGCTTAAAAAATTCAAAAAATATTTCTAAAGAATTTATAAATGAAGTAAGAAATGTATTATAGTTTAATTTAATTTATATATACGTAATCATCTAATAATCTTACAATTATAGGTTTACGCTCACTATCAATGCATTGGAAAAAGTAATAAGGGAATAATATGCTATGGTATTTCATTTCATCCAGAAAAGAATCAATTTGTTTTAGTATTGAAGTATGCAGAGAAAGGCAATATTCGAAAATATTTACAAAATGAACACGAAAATTTAAATTGGTATCGACGAGTGGAACTATTGGAAGGCATAATTGAAAATCTACAGCTTATACACTCTAAAAACTATATTCATCGTGACCTTCATAGTGGAAATGTGCTTAAAGGGAAACTAGTTCTCGAAAGTTATATAACTGATCTAGTACTATCGCGGCCTGTTGAAGAAGCTGATTTGTCAAAAGGAACATATGGTGTAATGCCTTATATGGCACCTGAAGTATTAAATGGTCAACCACATACACAAGCATCAGATATTTACTCAATTGGGATTATTATGGCCGAAATTGCTTCTGGTGGTGAATATCCATTTGGTGACCGTCCTCATGATGCCAATCTTCAATTAGACATCATTATTAATGGCTTAAGACCAAAAATTGCTATCAGAACACCAAGATGTTGGAAGAATTTGATGGAAAGATGTTGGCATAAAGATCCGCTTCAAAGACCTAACATTGATCAACTTCTTAGGGAAATCAGAAAAACACGACGTTTGGGTTCGAACTGGATAGAAAATGATATTGATGAAAATGAAAAAAATGCGCCTTTAGATGGCAATCGACGTAATCATAACACATTAAGACAAGAAGTTCATATAGAAGCAAGTTATACAAGCAGATTTATTAGTTATGCCACGACCGTACACAGTAATGATGACTTGTTTGCATCTGGTAAACACTCGTATTATTTGAAATATTTTTTTAAATCTTTTTGTATAATTTTTTTAATATATTTCTATTACAGCTAATAACGCCAGAAATTTGCCTCTTGAAAATGAATAAACTTTTTAGGTTTTTAGATAAACCTATGCTTTCGGGGTTTAACATGAAACTTGTATTTTTTATAATATTACATTGAGTCATTTTCTCATCCGACTATTCAGTATCTATATTTTTTTTAGATTTAACCATATATTCAATTCGCTAGAAAGCTCCTCGTGGCACATTTTATATTTAATGGTACAATCTTCAATTTTCAATTCTGTTCGTGGATTTACATATCATATACAGTACGCTTATTCTTAACATAAATATTAGCTTCCTATTTGAATCATAAAGTTTGATTATTATATACTGTATATTAATTTTTAAAAAAAATTTTGAACAGAAGAAACAATTACATTTGATTTATATTTATAAATACCATATAACGCTGACTATAGTATCCTGATATTTTACATTTCACACTTGCACTATGTATAGAAATATGATATCGTTTCTAAATTACCGACCTCCAAAAATGGTACGTGTAAACAAACTAGCCTGAAGAGCACGTAATACTCAAAAATCGTGATGACAATGGTCTTACGAGAAAATTCATTATTTGAAAACACAGTAGGAGTCATAAGTAACCGACCCTCTAAAAATAAACAATAAATTTTTTTCATTTTAAACTACATGACAAATCATAATTTGATATAATATGACCTCTATTGGCCTCTATTAGTGTCAAAACATGACTTTTCATACTATTGGTCAATTTACAGCAAGTTCATTGGAAACATCAACAAAATTTGAAACTGTTGGCAACCTATATGTACATGTATGTCAACTACCCATCAATTATACGTGTATACGGTCATCTGTTGGCAATGAAAGATCGATTTCGAATGCCAAAAAATGAATCAGTCACTTTGGTACACGATATCACACCATCCAGTGTTCCAATTCAAACAGAAATACTACCATTCGATTCATCTAGTCGAAGCGAATCGGATCATTCGATACCAAAATTAGTACTGCAAGCCACTAAAAATTTTCCGGCTGGCTGAGCTGCTATTTTCTCGAGAGCTGAGCCGGCTCAGTTGATATTAATTTTCCAAAAAAGGAAATTATATAAACATCATATCGATATCAGGTAATCCAATAATGGCATATTCGTAACGCCCCTGTTTCATTGCCAAAATATTTATATAATCACAATTTGAAGTTACTTTTCCAAGGAGTAATAAAGTCGTAAAAAAACTAGAATATGCAACAATGATTGGTCTGACGCATATTTTGTAGGATTTGCCTGAGTGACCAGCTCATTATGAATACTACGTACACTTCCTAATTTGAACATTCCCCCATTAGAAATTGATCGTCGCTCACTTTAGGATGACTAAAGAGACCACACCAGCATTCAGGGGGAATTGTACGTACACGTGATTATCCAATCACGTGTTGCACATATAACTGGACCGGTCACTTCGGTAAATGATATCGGAAAAAACGTGATTCCAGTGATCGAAAATCAAACAATCAACGATCAACGATCCATTTAAAATGGAAGCATAACGATAATTATTATCTGACGATTATTTTTTAAATAAAAATTAACGTTAATGTATATTTATTAGCAACTAGCGCAAATCATAATCGATATAACACAATTGGGTTTCTTCGTAATTAATAAGGTTTGCTGCAGATATTATTTGTTCTTTTTAGGATTTATTTACATCTTGATGGCAGCAAATTTAGACGACTATTGTAAAATAATGTCCATGGTTTTGATCCACGCCATGTTGGATCACGTAGCCGTCTACGTTGCGCTGTCTCGATATCATCTAATATTGTGAACAAATGGTTTTTATTATCAACAACTCGCATAACATGACGCAAGTTATTAGCTGCAAGCTCGATTTCAAGATGTTCTGCCATACGTCTTACAGCCGCTACCTTGAGCTCACAAACATGACGTATTTCTTGACCATTTTCATCCTCATCCATCTCAACTAACCTGCTACCTAACACGTCAAATTGTGAAATTGAAGAAGATTGCGGTATACATACCTCTTCGGATATATTTGCGACTTTTTGCCATTCTATATAAGAAAGGGATAGTTCTCTCACCGCTGAAAATTACTATACAATAGACGAACACCCTGCGGATTAGTTGACTTCACCATTTTAACTGCATGCTGAACTAAGTGCTTGCAAATGAGGAAGCGACTATCAAGAAACGACGGGCAACTACATATCCAACATATCAGGTCAATAAAATAATGTTCCTCGTGCCCATCAGCAATTGGTTTTACAATGAACTGCTTCCAATCACTCTTGAACTCAAACCAAGAAGGAGTCATTTATCCTAAGCACATTTGATTGAGACGAGTAATCTGAGCAGGAAGAATACGCGTACAAATGATCCACATAACGTAATCCAATCGTGGTCGATTGAACCTATGAAGGTAACAATGCTTGATGACCCTCCAGTGCGATTCAATAAGCATGTTCATTTTGTCAAGCAGAATCATCAATCGTATTGATCGAGCCCAGCATTTATAATGTTATTTTTATAACATTAGATATGATTTTTGGAAAGTTATGGAGGGTCAGTTACTTATAATTTGCATTGTAGTTAACTCTCATTATGATACTCTATCAATTTGACAGAATAACAAGTTATTATAATGATAATATTGAATATATAATGATTTAACTAATACAGTAATTATATAGTAAACCACTATGTAAGAGAATGAAAAAAATGCAATTTGTTAGGGTAAATTTTGTTTAAACCAGATTCAGTTTTTGTATTTACCAATTTCATACATAATTATTGGTCACTGGACCATGTTATAATGCATACTGTTCTGGAATTTTTGGTCATAACAAGACTATGACATAACAATGAGAGCAAAAAATGTTATTGTTTGAATTGACCAGCTTGTTCATACATGTACTGACGCAGATGTTATAATAATAGGTGTCATATTAATGAGGATTGACTGTATTTTGTGTTTTAAACAAATTGAAATCTAATTCATACTATTTGATTATTTTATTTTATTTTATTTTATCATTAATCTATATTATTGTTATATTTAATTATTCTATTGAAAGATTGCTTTGTGCAATTTTTTCATTTCTTTAAATGGTTATTGCATTATAAAAAAGATAAAATAAACAAGTTTTTTATATTTAAGCGCCTTTAAACTTTTTTGCTTTGATAATATAAAAATTCATTGAAACAACATCTAACGCTAAGATAAAAATGATATTCTAGATAAAAATAATCATCCTAAAATTCACAAATTTTATGAATTTTATGCTGATATTACCTAAAATACTATATTATAACAAATTCACTGACATTTGCTGACTCTTTATAGTTAACATATTTGGTAAAAGTTACGTGAGTAAATAGTAAAAAAATGAATTTTGAATTTAAAAGATAGACTTGATCAATTTTTTGACTTTCTACCATTGTGTATGATTAATTTTATCGATTACAATTGGGCGTAAAGCAAACAATACTTAGGCAAAATATTTAATAAGTAATTTCTACAAAATACAGTAGATTTAAAAATTCGACATACATAAATCGCATAAATTTGAAGAATAATATCAGAAACTCTCGCACCCACATAAAAGTTAGGAAACCTATTAGTTCGATAAAATACAATCAAATTCATAAATCTGTCATAATTACATTTTCAAGCAATATTATAAATAGTGAATCAGTTATTTTCATTAAAACTTCTATTACCGTATTTTGCCGTGTCTAAGCAACTTGTGACAAATAGATGTTTACATATAAGTATGACTTGAAATAATAAAATAAATGTGATAATTAAAAAAATTACTAAAAAGGGGCAACAGGTGCTTATACACGGAAAAATACGGCAATATTAGTATTTAACTAACGAGTTATTCACTTAAAAATGGATTAAAGAGTGAAAATGTGATTGTATCAATCAAATCTGCTTAAAATATCTGAAATTCAATTATAACTGATGAATTCTTTAAGAATTCGGTAATAATATAATGAGTTTTCATATTAATTTGAGAAATAGCTATATTTATATTGATAAATTAAAGTTTGTATCGATTTACAATAGATTTGAGAATTACAAGATAATTATTGATAACTTCTAATTCCGAACTCGCGTTACTATAAATTCTAAAACAACACTCATTTTGAAATATATATATATACACATATATATATATATTAAGTTTATTTTTTGTCTAACTCAAGGACTTGAATGAGCGAAATTTTTCGCCATGGTGTTGATGTTTTATATCTAAGTTTATTATCAGAATTGTATTTCTAGAAGATCCTGACTTTACACAAGGAAATACGACTTTTTATTTTTGCAGCATTTTGACACATTTACATTATATTTTATTTAGAATAACGTGATAGATCCGGTATTTGAGGATTCTTAGAAAATCAAACCTGGCACTAAATCTTATATGCCATTTAACATGTACAATAAAATGAATTTGTGTTTTTTGATGCAAATAGAATTAATTTTGACTGTTTAATCAGGATTTGCTTCTCTCAATAGAAAATTCTAATATAATACCCTTATCCACTCTGGTGGTTTCTTATATTAGCGAAAGCAGACTTCAATTTAAGAAAATACTAAAATTTACAGAATGAATTCCGAATTCATGAAAAAGGAGTTGAAGGAGGAATCAAACATAAATTATCCATTATGCTGAGTATAAAATTAATGATGGAACTTCACGTGATCTATGCTTTATTGGCGCTTCTGCGCAATATGTCCAGCCGAAATTACTTATTTCAAATCTGTATTAGCTATAGAAAATATATGAATTTGGAAGCTGAATTATTGAAATAGGCTAAAGCGAGTCCGTAATTTTGTAAGTCAATTTTTGAGTGTTCCCAAAATATAATATTTAAAAGAAATAAAATATGCAAGTTTATATTGCTAGTCAAACCGAAGCACTAATTAAGGTCTTGATAACCGAGGTTTGTTCCAGAACCAGTTATAGTAAATCCACCGAATTTTTATAGTCCCGACCACTTTAATTTAACGGTGATTTTTCACTAAAGTATGACATATCATCGGCTTCTTTGATGTGACATAAATTATAAACGTCATGACTGCTTTCAAATACTGAATTTTATTATTGTAATGAATTTGCGAAGCGCCACGCAGAATCCTTTCGAAGCCTTTGAAAATTAGGCGATTTTAGCTAAAAGAAATTAATAGTTATCATAGATTATTGAACGTCATTTACATTATAAATTAATGTCTATTTTAGCCATTATAAGTAGGAGACAAATATGTTGAATTTACTATGTCTAAATTTTGATAGATATTTTAAAGCTTACATATTTAAATTATAAATTATTTTGTACTATGCTTACTTCTTAGCGTTAACGTCTATCGATATGCAATTAAGTCATTTATGTGATCCATTGTTTTTGATTTTAATAGCCTTACATTCTCCAGCTTTCACCTGCAATAACTTTCTCAAAAGCAGCAGCTATCGAAAAATGAACTTTGGTCTCCAAATTAAGCCAATCCCAGAACATATACTTTCGAGGGTTAGAACAAACCGAAGAATTTTTCCCATTTTCCTCATAACAAGCATTCACTAAATTATCAATGCCGCTTTTATCAGCCAAAGACGCCTTGAAATAATTTAGGAACGAGTCTGTATCAAACGGGTAAATCGTCACATCTGTATACACGGTGCTAAAGTCCGCGATTAGTTGTCGTAATAAGATGTTGTGCATTGTCAAGACCTGTTGCGAATGAGATGGGGTTCTCATGGAATATTTGGATACTGGGAGTAACGTGCTGTTGAATAGATTTGGTATTAAAAAATATCGAATTCCTGTTTCATAAAGTAGCTCCATACAATGTTCTAATTTTAATATTACTTCTTGTGGATCGATTCTATAGTTGGAGTTAAAGTAATCGTTGCCAACTATCCAAATCTAAAATAGAATGTGAATAAATTAAACTTGTGTATGCGCATATACTTGGTGAATAAAAAGAAAGTACTTGTGAATTACCGAAGCCAAAGATTTACTTAAATCTGTTCCGTGTTGTGAAAAATAAAATTCTTTGACTTGCTGAAATACTCCCGGTATAGTTATATTATCATTCCGGCCAGTTACACCTGTTCATTACATTTTCGAAATCAATTATTACTCGTAGAGTGAATTCAAACTTATGGGCGTAAGAAGATGCCTTTACCTGTAATCAAATCATGACTAACCAAATAAAATAATAATGTTAGAACAAAATAAAAATTAAGAGATGTAATAGAAATGGACTTACTCTATAGTAGCAGACCCATAAGCATGATTAACAACACTGGTCAAATTTAGTCGTGCCATTAAGTAATCCGGCCAAATTGGGCCATCAGAAAAACGTCCTTTGTATGAAGGAGAAGGCGGCCATGTATGATTCGTGAAATTGTATACATTACCTATATCTTTTTTTGAGGGTTTTTTTAGTTAATTTACTTTAAAATCTTTAAAATATAAATAAATAATAAATTACATGATACAAACCGGAATAAGAATCACCAAACAAAATCAATTTCTCAAACTTTGACTCAGTATTTGTTGTAGTTTGCGCATTCGTAAAAAACAACAAAAAACAACCACTATATAGAACAAGCGATATTACCAATATCTTCATAGTTGTTGGCAATTCATAAACTTATAAAAAATGGCGGTGTAAAAGAAAAAGCAATTTTGTTTCGCCGAAAATATTTCTTTATAAAAGAAAAGACTCGAGAAAGTTAATTCCGAGTGATTAATTGATTTCAAGCGAGCACGATCGAAAGTAAACCTTTTTTTGAGGCTATGTTGTTAGAAACTCAGAAAAGTAAATTCTATGACTATTCTGTTCATCGTTAGAATCTAAAAATTTTATTTGCCTTTATACTAATACCAATCAGGCATTAATAATCTATTTTAAATCATTGTTCGTACTTCTTTCTTTTAGATAAAAGCCACATTAATGGTACATGTACTAACGTTAATTATAGATCTGACACAAAATTCATCATGTAACAAACAACATCTATAAATAAAAACAAACCACCTTTGTTGATTATCATAGTACATGTACAATAAACAAAGAGTCATAATGCAAAATTACATCAATTGTTATTACAAATATTTGTACATTAAATATAAACTAAGTCTACATGCAATTACAAACAGATCAATTATTAACTTACAGATAAATCGACGTCGATGGTGATGATAATGCTGAACTTTAAATTATTAAGTAAATACTCATTAATAAGGAAAATCACGTAGATCGATGTCGGCAGGAACACCGTCACTCTCGTTATCGTTTTCATCTTCATCATTAGTTGTTTCACCTTCGTCTGAACCTTCGTCATCACCATCTTCAAAAACATCGTATCCGACTCCCTCACCTTCCTTTTTACCATTAACCTCATTGATAATAATGTCCATTCTTCCTGGCATGTCAACATCTCCGCCCAAATATGGTCTAAGCTGAGATCCCCTGTTTCTTTTCTTGCCATTACCATTCATTGTTGTTAATTTATTATGTCTTCCGTTGGTATTAGGGTCATCCAATTGGAAATTAGCATGCATCAATGAACTTGGTGCCGAGTAATTGGTACCAGTTCTTGATTTATCATTTGATCTTGTTATGCTTCCAGTCAAACTCCGTATCATGTCTAATCGAGGTGAGCTTCCAGGCGCACTTTTAGGTGAAGATGGAGCTGATACTGGCGTATTATTTAAATAAATCTCTAGTGGAATTTCAATATTAGGCAATGGTGGCTTCCAATAATTCCAATCGTTATATTCTGTATCCCATTTCTTGGATCCAATATGAGGAAACATTTGATCTACTAGATCACTCAAATCAACATATCTAAACAAAAACAAAAAATTTTTGGCTCAAGTCGACAAGCAATGCGAACTAAAACAATTAAATCGTGCGAAGTATCAATTAACCAACTTACGAAGATTTATACCCGGATAATAATTCTAGCTTTACCGTTCCATTAGAATCGATAGTGAAAATTCTTGACGATGGAACATCAACGCTTCGATATGATAGCGCATCCTATTCAAGACGGTAAATTATTAATGACAACTAAAACTTTTCAAGAAATGATTAATCGTGACACATGCCGTTATTCGATTGCCAAATCCAGCAAAGAATGGATTCCGATCACCAAATAATTTCTTTACATCACGTAAACAAGCCATCTTGAAAACTTCAGGCTTTCGTATTATGACTTCTCTGTATATTATAAAGGCATCAGATTCGTTAAAAAAATTCTAAAAAAAGCAATAGAGAAAATATATTAAAAACCTATGAAATGCTGTGAGCAATCGGTCAGGTGACATTATAACTGGTCCATCGGGTAATTGATATTTATCTTGCTCTACTTTTCTTAAATAATCTCGAGTGTAGTCAGCCTGCTCATAAAATTTTTTCAATTAATAAAAATGAATAACAAAAATCGCTCGCATTCTAATGAACTCATTACCTGACCAATTGCACGACTAGTTAAATATAATATCTGATACCCATTATTACGGATATCAGTGTATAGCTTAGCGACTCCCGAATGAGTCCAATCTTTACCAATCATAGTGAAGACATGACCAAGAGCGTCGGATCTATTTAACAGGTCAAGGTAAAATCCATTATACATGCTAAAAAGAATACACACATATTGATTATCAATTGATCTTAACTTGGTAATTGTTCCGTCGATGTCAGAAATGACAATTTGCGTATCATAATCCCAAAAGAACAATTTAGCCACACATGTGGCTTTTCCTTGATATGCAGAAGCAACGGAAAATGATATGGTGTTGACTCCCTTTTTCAAATTAAGACTTTGCTGAAATTAAAGAATCAAATCAATCAATCAATTTTTCGACTGTGATAAATAAAAATTTTTGAAAAAAGCCAAAGACGTACTAATTGTCCCGAGGTTAATCTGAGTGTTTTTGCATAATGTTTAGATTGGTGCAATTGACTTTGAATTGGCTGATAAATGAATATAGAAATTAATAAGAGATTCAATTAATTCCATATATAATAGCTTATAAATATAAAACCTTCGTGTTATTATCTTCCCTTTCTTCTGTTGATTTCGTCGTCTGATCCAGGGAATTGTGTGACGCGGAACTGCGAAACCATCGGCTCCAACCTCGCCCAAAACTATACCTTCGACGATCCGATGGTTGTAATTTTTCCATTCTAGTCGTCGTCGATAAAGAGGCAATGGTGGATTCTGGGAGCGGTTTTTGAAATACGAGGAGAGCCACTATTATCGGTGCTGCGGTTGCCCAAGTATAATATCTTGAAATCCCGATAATTATTGATGTTAAATACCATTTTTGCCGACTTTAAAGTATAAGATTCAAGAAGCTTGAATACGAGTACGACCTGTCCTCATACTTGAATACCAAGGCCTTTTCACTGAATAGATGCGGATTTTCACAAAAATGTTCATATGTTATTTCATTCTTTCTGAATAACTCATCGTCAACAATCTGTGATAAATTAAATGAAGGAATTAATTATGAATTATTAAATTTTAAGGTACCAATTCAAATATTGCTAACTCACTTCATCGTGTCCAAATTTTTCGTTTCCACAAAGCGACATAGCAATTCGATAGAATTTTCCGTCAATTTCAACGCCTTTCGCGTCTTCATTTTCTTTCCGATCTTTGTCCTCCGAGGTTTCTCGCCATTGAGACATTTTATCCGAAGTTCTTACAGGTAAAGCGCCCCAACCCCACGACCATTCTCCAGATAATGTCGATGGTTTTTTAGGATCGTACTGATAAAATAGAAAAACTCGATAAATGTAGATACAAAAAGTTAAGATACATAACAGAACATAAAATCATACCTCAAGTTCCGTATCACTCAAGGGACTAACTCGAATTGCACGGCGTTCGATTCTAGGCGTATTATGTAGAAATTAGTGAATACTAAACATTTCCCGAAAAGTTCAACTATATTCTCTTTGAATTCCATACGGATTATCTGGCTTTCGTGTCCCATCCAATTCGGTATCGGATAAAGATATTTCTGGCTTTTCCCCTAAAATGATTTCATGATTGATAGGTTATTTAAATGAAAACCGGTGTACGACATCTAGGAATGCGTAAAATCTATAATATTTGACAGTGCCTAAATTTATTATCTAACAAGATTCGAGACTAAATTCACAAAAACCTCTCGTAATAATCCGAATCCATTCATATCATCCTAAATTTGTTTTCTTTGAAACGAATAAATGGTATGATCAATTAAAAAATATACCCACAATATTCGATTGGCAGTGATGATGAACGATCAATCATTGGCCGTGAAGATTTGTTCAACTCTTCCAAAACGTAATCCGCTGGGGCTTGTTCTGCATCTGTTAATTTGACTTGCTGATCTTCGGATTGATTGTTATCCGCGGTCGGAATCATGTCCACTTTCTCATCAAAGTTTAGCTTATGTGGAGACAACTCAGGATCAATTGATATATTGGACTCGTAAGAAACACCATTTTGATCTATATCGTTGGTTTGATTTACAGATGCTATATAATCAAGCTGAGATTCTGGATAAAATATTAACCAAACAAATCAGTAAAGTTATCTTATTAAGAGAATGCAAATTTTTTATACCAATTTCTGCTTCGCTTCGCATTTTTGTTTCCAAAAATGAAGGGCTATTTGGCGTCTCTTCAGATTCATTTTGATTTATATTATCATCTTCATTGTTCTCGTTTTGCTCCTTATAGGTATCGACCGCCTCTATATTTAAAGAGGATTAGTTATAAGTAAAACCCCCCCAATCAAGAATAATTGTTGTCAGCCACATACCTTTTAAATACTTATTTTGTATGTCATCATAAGAATTAGAATTAGATTGAACCTGTATTTCTTCTGACTTAGGAAACATTCTATTTTCAGTTTCCGATAATGTATTATCATTTGTAAATTCTTCGGCAACAGGCGTTTCGTCTGATTCTTTGAAAAGATTTGAAACAGCCTCAGTGCCCACAATTGATTCAAGGTGAGACCGACTTTCAGGCTCTGCAACTAAAGTCTTTGGTTTTGGCTCTACATCTCCATCATATCCATCTTCGTCTTTAATTTATCATAAATAGCATATTTAATTTAGAGAAGTTAGGTAGTTTCTTACTAAACATGAAAATATACCTGAACTGGATCCATGTTGATCAGTCGCGGCAAAGCTTTTGACTAGCATATAATACGACAATCATGGCGTAAGAAATAAATGAAAATCTTCTATACATATAAATGTGGGAAGAACAATACCTCGATCTGTTATTGGCTTTTTTGTGTTACGAGTGCTGGATTCTTCCAGATCAAGATAATCTGGTTCCTAAATTAAAACAAATTTCATCGAAAGCTTAACACTAGCATACCCAATGAGCACAATCGAACAAACCTCTTCGCTTAGCAAAGGTTGGCTAGGACCTGCAAGTGGTGACGTTTGCAATTCATGTGGAACTTCATTTTCCATTTCTATAATAAAGAATGCTTCGCCCGCTTCTCCGACTTTCATCGGGAAATCGACCAATTTACCGTTGACGGTCACCTCGACCTTAATTAAATCACTAATTAGCTCAAGCTGAATTTGTACGTGGCTTAATGAAAACACAGTATACCTTTTTTTCTTGAGGCATGAGCACAGACAACTTCCCAAACCTTACATGGAACGGCGAACAAGCAAGCTCACCATTTGGTTGTTGAACTACTATTACATCAATCGCACCGGAAAGCGTAGCGGGATTGATTTCCCTGTAAATTTGGGAGACAAATTTATATACAGACTGCATTGATACGCTAGAGTACTTAATCATAAGTTTAAGTACTTCTTTTGCACGATATTAAATTCATAAAAACTTACCTAATTACATGTACATGTATTATTGATGATCGTCGAATTGCCATATGAAGTTAGATAAATTGTTAAACCCATTTGATTATGCGGATTTTTGGGTGTTGATCCTTATTGAGATTATTCTTTCCTCTATTTTTACTTGCAGTTTTACTATTTCTAAAGTAAATTTTACATTCAAGAGAAAGCTTCTATTAACAAGTAAAGAGTAAAAAATGGGTAAAAGAAAAACCAAAAGAAAGCCAATGGCAAAAAAGAAAGAAACTCTCTCTGTTCGTTTTGACTGCATATTTTGCTATCATGAAGGAAGTGTAGAAATCAAAATGGACCGAGAACAGAGAATAGGAAGTCTAAAATGTCGAACATGTTTCGTCACATTCCAATCAAATATACATCAATTGAGCGATGCAGTGGACGTATATTATGAATGGATCGACGCATCAGAAGATACACGGCACGAACAACGACCCGGATCAAAACGTCCGAATAACCGAATACCAGGAGGAAGTAATGGGAGAGGAGGTGGTACAGGTGGTGGGGGAGATGGTGGTTCTGGTAATAGGGAAAGGAATTTGGATGAATATGATGATGATGATGACGATGATGCTGGATTGGAGTATGAAGAGGATCATAGTCGTTATCGCGGTGGAAGTGGTGGTCATAGTGGCAGTTTTCGAAATACTTCGGAACAGCATTTCGACGGCTATGATGAGGATGATGAATTTAATTAATTAAGAGTCAGCTTTGTAAACTCATTATTTAATTCTGCATCGCGAAATTTACAAAATTAATTGCTTGGATCTATTTGGACTTATACCTCGCAACAAGATATTTGGTTTATAGTGTAATTATGATCAATGGCTCGTTTGTGTTATTATCAATAATATTATTAGCATATAATAAAATAGAAATAGTTAACAAGTAGAGATTCACATATAAACGAGTTGATCTTTAAAACAAGGACTCTGTTTCCCAAATTCATTTATAAAAAGCTCAACACGTACAAGATGATAGTTTTTTGATCAAGTCCAACTCCGAATTCTCTCGTTTTATCACGCACTCTTTCATGCTAGCCAACGCGATTGTCTCAAATTTTTCGTTTAAATCGTTAAAATTATTTTTCGCTCGTAGCCTTTATATTCCAATTTTACTTTGGGTCTTAATGATGACTCAATTCTCAATTTTACATGTCAGCCCATTTTCCATTCTAAATAAATGCTCCAAGATTATTGATGAGTATCTCTTTAGTCACGAGACATTATCACTAGTTATTCATAACTTCTCATTTTTGATGATTCACCTGGCTAGCGATAGATTCCCACGTAACTTTGTATTAGATTCGTATGGATTGAATCAATCAACTATAACTAAACATAGTCGACTACAATCAACCAATTAGCATAGCTATATTACATAACTAAGGCTCCATCAAACAATGCCCGGAAAAAAATTCCCAGGGCGCCATTTAAGTTCTTGTTAATCCGAATCCCACATGCGTCGCACCTAAACTCTCTATTTCCACCCAAATTCCTCTTAACGTATCCACAATAACTGCACGTTTTGCTTGTGTATGCTTCTGACACCGACGTTATAACATCTTAAATACCAATCGTTCCTAAACCGCGCATGCGTCCAACTCATCATCTTCCGAACTGTCCTACTATTATACCAAAAGTATGAGCCAATCACAATGAAGTTTTTTTGTGTACTTCATCCACTAATTTTGGATGCATTTTCTTAAGCGAGCTTGGGCTCGTTTTATAGAGTTGCGCTTCTTTGCTGGTGCTCTAGTGGTGCGTGCAATAAGTGCATCCAGAGAAATACAGAGGCGTACAATACGGTTAATATCATTGTCGCCGAAATTGCTATAGCCGACTGTGGGTAAATACCATAGGAGAAAAGTTCGAACACCAGGATCAATGACTGCAACATGGATTTCTTCCGCTTGATTCTCACGAATAGACTTTCCATATACCCATACAAATGTCCAATGTCCAATGTCCTAATTTTCTCTCGTATATTAATTTCGAGCCCATTGTAACTTTTCCAGTATCATCCGGCCAACAATGATTGTATCTTCGAAATTCGTGGGTAAATCTTTGTGAATGATCCGGATTACTAACAAGAAGAACCTTATTATGTAATAGCCTTAGGTAAAAATGAAGTGGTTCACAGCAGAACTGGGTACGAATAGTAATACATGTAGTTTGGCAGTTATCCTTTTAGAGGCAAAATGAAGTATGTTGTAAGGATCTTGACTTTTTCTCTTTCTATTTCTTGCAATGACTTCATCTCTGGTCTGTATAGGACTTGAAATAGCATGACCAAGCATCTCATATGGCATCTTGCCATAAACGCCCATTCCTTTGTATATCTAATTTTCAGCTGAAGAAGCACTGTTTTGTAATTCTATAATGCTGCTGATGGTAATTGATTACTACCATGTTCTAAACCAAGCTAGCACAACCCATCCACTGTCGAAGCAAGACCTTCTGAGAAGAATTAGGATACATTCATACTATCAGTGATCGTGTCAAATTTGCTTTCTTTGCTCTCTTGACTCGTTGCGTTGTTTGCACTTACTTCCTGTGTTTTTTGCTTTTTGTCTTGTTTCCGTTCTCATCTGTATCTAGAAGATAATTGGGTTTAGATGAAAGAAAGTGCAAATGAATAATATTTACCTAGCAGATCGCTTTTCTTATAGTCGGCAGATGAAGACGGTGTTAATGGCGAGGATATCCTAAAATAGTTCTCATTCATCCGTTGGATTGTCATTTGAGAGAACCACAAGCCTTGTGCTATTAAAATGAAAGATGAACTCAATGAGGTCGAAGACAAACCTACAGAGCCTGTCTCCGTGGGCAACCACAATCTCTTTGATCAGTTCGCGACTCAATCGTTCAAATAGGGAACGCAGTCTGGGTCTCTTGAAGTTAATGCCAGAGCCGATATCGGAGATGAGGTGATGGTTTGGGAATGGTGAGAGGTACTGTTTCGGGCTGGAAACTCTCGCGTAAACAAAGCATTCATGCACGTTGGGACACCAAGGTGGAGGAGGTGGTAGAATCATCAGCACTGTGGTTTCTGAGCATGGATTTGATAGTATAAACTCTTTGTCCCGAGGGAAGTCTAGAAGCTTGTCCTCTTTATTCCAGGGCCGAAAGTGTGCTAGCTGAACGCCGAAAAATTTGATGCTTTCGATGCAGAAAGCAACATGAATTTCCTAATATTTTGTTTCTTGGAATGATTAAATGCGAATTTCATCATATCACATGTTCCTTGACTGATAGAAGACTGCAATTCCTAACTCAATTCTTAATAACATTAATTATTTTTTGCAAACCTTAATTTTTGGCCATAATTATCTTTAATTCTGTAATGCTGGCCAAATTACACGCTTTTACAATTGTAAGTTTGGCATGACACTAGTTTTCGGATTCGGATTCTATTGAGAGTTTAGAGAGGGTGTGTATTTATAGAGTAAATATTAGAGCTTGGGCCCAAGTCATAGCGTGCATTTAGGGAGAGTACGTATAAATAGTGTGTGCATTTATAGAGGGTGCACTTAGAGGGGTTTCTCTGTAAAAGTGAATGACCTGCTGGTTTTTTGTTACCGATTTTGATTTGGCAGTTTTCAAATTGATTTTAACTTTGAACGATATTATCTGCCACAAACTCAGATTACATTTGATCCGCCCCATGTATATAGAACAGACGTCGAAAAATGTTTAATAACAATGCATAAAGAAATATTTAACCAGAATACATCAATTCTTTAACAATTCGAGTTTTTCCTTTTCTACATCATTTTTATTGCGTTTAATAGCCAAATTCAAGGTTTTATATCGGTGGTTTGTTTTTAATAAAGGCTGAAAGCCGGTCGACGTTGATTTGTTAAAGTTGACTATCGCTATTGACACCAAAAACTTCTTTCTTGGATTAAAAACATGAACGTAGTCTATGTCACAATATTATCACGATTTTCGAAGTCAATGCCCATTGTGGAAATACATGAAGCTATGACAGGACATAATAACAAAAACAATATCGATAAACCAGGTGTGAATGTTAAAATAAGACCAGGTAAGGTTAAAATCAAAAAACTACAAATTTTTCTACTAATAGGAATATGCTCTAATTTGGTATTATTTGAAATAAAATGATGAAAAGCTGATTCACTTTCAATTTTTGTTTGTTGATAAAGTCGACTAATTACAACGATCCAAATACCAAAAAAAGTTTTGCTCGCAACAGTGTCATTGTAAATAAATACTGTATAGGTAAAAAGGATCCAAAGCCAGTAAAAATGATACATGTTAATGAAAACCCATTGAGAAAAGGTCTTTGCATGGAAGCCCATAATAAAAGCGAATAAGATATATATAACAATCAGCATTACAGCCAATCGAATGCGCCACCCAGATATCATGGCACCAATTAACTCAAAAAAGTGTACCAAACATTGACAAATTATAATATACAAACCAAAAATACAACTTGAAGATTTGATTGAAGGTTTAGGGTAGAACATAAAAGTTAAATGGGCGAATATAAAAAATAATGTTGTTATTAGTGAAATTATCATAGAATAATTCTGTGTCAAAATGCCGTATATGATGTTTCCAAAATTGATACAATAAAAGAGCAAGAAATCATCCAAGAAACCAAGAAACAGATCTTTTTTTGTTATATTATCGCTCCTTTCCGAATTAGCTTTAAAGAGGAGAACGACAAGTAAAGGGACCAATCCTGAGATAACAATATCATATACGTCATTGAAAGTGTCATTGAAAGTGTCATCGGATAAAGCGATGTCGGATAAAGTGTTATCGGATAAAGTGTTATTGGATGAAGTGTCATTGGATTGAGTGTTGTTCTCGTGATTCAATGGACTGGCTGACACTTTAGGTACTATTGTTATAAAGTTGATCAGGAGTAATAAACAATCTTCTTTATTGAAAGATCTATTATTACGAGTTGGGTGTTGAATTGATTGTGCTCGTTGGATAACAACGTTCTTCATAAAGCCAGTAAATAGAGTTATGATAAGAGAAAACATACTTTTTCTAATTATGAGTTGAATTAATAAATCAATTGAAACGAATGAAGGGTAAAAACGAAATTATATACATGTACATGTATTTATAAAATGTCGGTATTTTATAAACAGTAAGAATGCGCAAATTTTTAATCCGATAAACAAATTTGACACAAAGGGAAATGAAAAGCGAAAACTACGGAAAATGACCGTTCAAATCTAACTTGGAGTACTAATAAAAAATCTCGGAGGCAATTTTATATATAATCTTACTCTCCCTAATTTCAGATAGGGTTGATCCTTCTCTTCTGAATAGAATTGCGATTGCATCTCACAACTTCATTCTTCTATTTCCTTTTATGCATCCATCTTCACTTGCCATGATATCAGTGGATAATCAGGGCGACGACTGTAACGGTAAGAAATTACATGGTTGTTTTTCAATACAGTGAACTTTCTCTAAATGCAGATTCTATTGAATTTATATTGTTTACAATAGGATCTGCATGGTCGTTATATCGAGAGTCGACTGTTCTATGTTTTTTTCTCTAAATGCAAACCTTGGTTTGGTCCCAAGTTAATAAGACAGTTAGGTAAAATGCACATTTCTGTTCTTTCATATGTCTCCCGAACGAGTTGCATTTAGGGAGATATAGTTACTTAATTTCATATATATTTCTGATAATGTTTTTCTTTAAATACGAATTTCATTATATCACATGTTCGTTTGTAACGAGTTTTGACTGTATGTATTATTTTGAAATTTTACAATAAGCTGATCGAGCTTTTGCAAAGACACAAAAAATAATAAAAGAAAGATAGCAAAAGACACATATTTATTGATAACCTTCGGCAAATAAAGAGATTGCTAAGGTTATTTTTCATACAATGGGCAAACCTGATATAAACTAAAATATTTATTATCATCTTAGAATATAGGATGGGATGGGAATTTCTATCGTATAATATGATTTGAAGTAGAAAAATTGTGATTAGGAGAAGCAAAAATAATGATAATACCAGTTAAGGTTAAATTCAAAAAACTACAGATTTTCCTAAGAATAGGCTTTAATTTAGTCTTGTTTGAAATAAAGTGATGAAAGCTGATTCACTTTCAATTTTGGTTTGCTAATAATGACAACTATCCAAATACCAAACAGAAGTTCGTTTGCAATAGAGCCATTGGGATAAACTATCGTAAAAATGGCAAGGAACATGAATGATACGCGTTAATGATAAGCGCCTTTACATGAAATAGCATAATAAAGTACGTATATATAATAGTCATCATTAAACACACTTGAGTATGCTTTTTAAATGTATTCATAATAGGAGATAAATTCAAGATATTAAGTGTAAAAGAAAAATGTTGACAAATTGTAATATAAACCAAAAATACAACTGGTAGAACATAAAAGTTAGTCGATACCGTAAAAGATCAATAAATCATCCAAGAAACCGTGAACAAAATATTTTTTTGTAAGCTCCTTCTCGTCGCTTCTTTCTGCTTAAAGAGAAGAGCAACAAGTAAAGGAATCAATCCCGAAGTAACAATATCATATACATCATTGAACAAAGTGTCAGTGAATAAAGCGTAATTCTCTTGATGCTGACGATTTAGGTACTATTATTGTAAAGTTGATCATGAGTAATAAATAACAATGCTTTCTTGAGGTTGAAACCTTCTTATTGAAATATCTATTATTGATTAGTAGATTGCACTCGTTGGATGAGAATAGTTTTTATAAAACTTTTATTCATTTTGATTCTAAAATGAAATATAATTGAATGAAGGATAAAAACGATTCAAAGTTTATATATTTAGTTTTTAATGAAATCGCGTAATTAATAATTAATAATTAATAATTAATAATCAATACTAAATAATCAATACTAAATACATGTATATTATCACACAAAAAAATACTACTCTTCCGAAACTCACTTTACAGTTTCACTTTTCTACTCCATTTTATACGTTAAAACATGTTTTCTTGCATTATTAAAGAGAAAGTTTCATGAGTAATAAAATATAAGCCATCATTTTCTATAAATAAATGATAATTGTTTTGAACTTTAGGAACACGTATAAATTACATGTATTATCGCTATGAAGCTACATCTTACTATTCCAAAAATTAAATTTTATGGTTTGCTTTGGCAAAAAGACACGAAAGTTCAGAAGTCTAGTAAAAGAAGCTAGCAAAAGACAAATATTCTGTAGATAAATCTTTATCTCGGCAGGAAGAACATTCGGCGAATAAAGATATTGCTATGACTTCTATTGTTCATAAAAAGAGCAAAACCAAGAAATTCCTTAAATAATTCTGACTCCAAAGAAGATTATCGAGGTTAAAATTAGATGCTTAATGTGAATATTATTTTTTTTCATAATCCGATAAATCATTTAATTTACATCACTTTTATTCCGTTTAATGGTTCTTGGCGAGTTTTTTTTACGATATACTCTAGAAGAAAGCAACAACAAAGCATTAAGTTTGAATATAAAGATTGTTCTGTACTCAAAGCTGGTTGGATATATTCGACGCCGATTTGCCAAAACTGGGGTTGTTAATAAAGCGGAGTGAATTGTGTTCATATTATAGTGGAGCAAGGGGTCAATCAAATTGAAACCACTTCGGGTTTTGCTCCAGATACTCCGGAGTACATGTACATGTATTTATAAAAGTTACATGTAATTGATTTGATTGGATTTAGAAGCTATATACATGTACATCCAAAAAAGCAAGAAACAGATCCTTTTTTGTTATATCTTTCTCGTCGCTCTTTTTTGCATTAGCTTTAAAGAGAAGAGCGACAAGTAAAGGGACCAATTCCGAAATTACAATATCATACACATCATTAAATAAAGTGTTATCGTTATTGGATAAGTGATATTGGATAGAGTGTTGTTCTCTTGATTTAATGGACTGGCTGACACCTTAGGTACTATTGTTGTAAAGTTGATCAGGAGCATAACAATATTTCTTGAGGTTGAAATCTTCTTTATTGAAATGTCTATTGTGAGTCAGATGTTGTTGAATTGATTGTGAGAATCTGTTGAAAGATCTGAATTGATTCATTTTCTAATTATGAGTTTCAATTCTAGAATTAAGAAAAGTAAAAGTTTATATACAGTCTGCCCTAGTGATCCTAACCGATCAAGCGTTAACCGGTTAACCGATGGTCAACCGGTCAAAATTCTTCTATACGGTTAACCAGTGATACAACGAATATTGGATCGATTTTGAGAATCATCCATTTTGTAGAATCGAGAAAATCAATTTTTAGAATCGATTAATATTTGAGAATTTGAGAATCGATTTTAAAGACAAACTCGACAACGATAATGTATAAATCGTATAGAATTGAAAATTCATGATTTTTACTTGTGAAATGTTACAACACATGACAAACTACGTACGTACTCTGTCATTCAAGAAACTATTGCAAATATAAAGTTTAATAACTTTGATAGTAATAATACTAATGCCAAAAGTAACTGATATTGATCCAAATTTGAATGACATTGATAAAACAACAGAAAAATACAGTAGCTCACTTAAGAAATGGAACACGGAAAAAAAATGGTGACCATTGAAGAATTACGTGGAAACAAAAGTAAGTGAATTATATTCGTTAAAATAATGCACATCAAGTAATGCAAATTTTATTTTCATCTATCATTTCCTTTATACACTAATACTTTTTTTTAGTATTCCGCATAATACGACCAACTTGTATGAGTAATTAGAAACAGCAAAGATAAGTATAAAAGCCATTTTTATTACTTTAATTTTTGTAAAATACTTTTAACCACAATTCTAACCACATTTCATTTGAAAAATGCCTCGAATTCCTCAAGAAAAATGCTCATGAATATTCACATTGTGAGAAAAAGGTTATTTGATACAGGAAATCGCTGCTTCAGAGCAGGTGGACCTTGTATCAGTCCTACAAATTTGCAAAAAAAAAGAAAGAAACCGGAATCTTTGATGATCTAGAAAAAACTAGTCATCCACCGACCGCTATGAAAGATATGCTGTCCAGTTGTTAATGACTGAACTGTGCTCTACTGCTGTAGAGATCAAAATCAAACTTAAATTTGATCTTGGGATTGCCATTTCCATAGAGAGCATATGGTGAATATTCCGGAGAAATGGTCTATCCTCAAAAACTAAACGCAAAAAGCTGATACTCAAAAAAACATACTGAAAACAGCGGCTTGCTTGGGCAAAGAAATACTGAGATTTTACAGTTAACAATTGGAAATTGGTTCTCTTGTCCAATGAAAGCAAGTTCCAGCTTTTTGGATCAGATGGTCATAAATACTGCTGGGTAAAGACTAATGAACAACTAAATCAATGCCAAATCATCCCTACAATGAAGTTTGGTGAAGGTGCTATAATGATTTGGGGATGTATGAATGCCGAAGGGGTGGGGCAACTCAAAAAAATTGACGTAAAAATAAATGCTGACATTTACGTTGATATTTTAAATGAGAATCTATTAGGTTCACTGTCAGCAAAAGGGCTGAGTAAGAAGAAATCTTTTACCAGCAAGTTAATGATCCTAAACATATGTCGAAAAAAGCACGAGTTTGGTTTCTTGATAATAAAATAGATTTGCTTGTTTGGCCAGCTCAATCTCCTGACCTGAACTCCATCAAAAATCTTTGGAATGAGGTTGACCAGCGGTTGCAGCAACTTCCTGGTCCACTTTCAAGCAAAGATGATTTGTGGGCAAAGCTCCAGATCGTGTGGAATGGCATCGAAGCAGACTTTTGTGAACGGTTGGTTTCTTCAATGCCAAAAAGGGTGAATGATGTTATAAAGACAAAGGGTGGTTATACAAAATGGTAATATAATATTGCAGTTCATTAGTTAGTATTTTTTTTTAGCTTGATAATAGTTCAATAAAAAGAATTCTTCCTTTAAATATCATCCTCGAAATCAGGCAATTTACGCAGAACGCTAAAAAAGTTGGTTAATTTTTGTTTAACTTCTACAAAAAAATTGTTAATATCAATAATCGTAACATTAACGAATATAATTCACTTACTTTTGTTTCCGCGTAATTTTCAATGGCGAAATATTCGTACCTTGCCAATTTTTTTTCCGTGTTCCATTTCTTAAGTGAGCTATTGTACATATAATGAAACGGATACAGAATCACAATATCTTTACCACGTAGTATCTCTACGAATTCAACTATTCAAAGTGCAACTTCAACTATTCCAACAAAAATCAACATACAATGAAAACCAAAACCAAAGACAAGCTATGCCATCGCCGTCATCGTCATCATCATCGTTGTAATTTGTGCTCGAGAATTGAGAATCGATTCCTCAAATTAAAATCGATTAATCGAATTTATTTAAATGATGAAATCGTCGGGAACAAATATATGTAACTGGTGGGTACTAATGTAAATGGTGGAAAGGAAAATATAGAGACAAATCACTTATAAAAAGAGATCCGTCGTCGCATATCTATGAGAGTAGAGTTATGTTCTTTGGTAGTTAGAAGAATCTTTAATCACATTCGTCATGATATATATCGAATACGACCTAAAGTGTAATTAAGAAAGATTTAAGAAATCTACTACTTTCTCTTCTAGCACGTAGCGATGAGTGGGCGTCAGAGAAAAAAGGAAAAAAAAGCAGCCTTGGAGGTCATTTAAATTTTATTTGTATAAGCATAAATGATATGAGCAATAAAGAGAACTATTCTTAATAGTTATTTCTTCCTTACATTAGATACCAGGCGTGAAGAACAAAGCACTGACAAACCACTTGTTTCTCTTCCATCTGATGAACTTCAAGACCAAATGACACTTCTTTCTTTACCGCCTGATGTAGCATCTAATCATTATGAACATCAAGAACCAACAATCAGCCAAATGATATCTTCCCCTTCTTTGCTGTCCAATATACCAACTACTAATCATACACCTGATATAGAAGAATCGAGCATTGATAAAACACCACTTCCTCTTCCTCCTCCACTTGATTTAGGACTCTTTAATGAACGACTTGATATCTGTGAGATCATCTTGCCAAATTTAGTAACTGAATATAGTTCTGAAGAGTCTGGAGAAACTGAAACTGAACATATACCTACCTCTTCCTTACGAATATATGATAAATGTAAACGAAAACGAAAGCCAAAAAAAGAAACGAGTTGGGTGTGGAAATGGTTTGATAAGAATAAAAAAAAAGGAATTGGAAAATGCAAAGTAGCTATGTGTAATGTAACCTTTTCTCTGAATACCACATCTCCTCCTATACCTATCATCTTAGTCATATTCACCTTATAACCAAAAACACTTTACCATGCCAAACTGAAATGAAACAGCAAACTATAGAAGAAAGTATTGTGACAACAAAATCTCTTTCAAAAGATAAACAAGAACTAGCTTTACAACCATTTACCTTGCTAGATAACAAGAAATTCAAGGCCTTTTGCATTATATTGTGTCCTCGATATAAAGTTCCTTGTGATAATACAATCAAAATTATGATTGCTCAAAGTGTTGAGTTTTCACGTCTGACATACTTGACAAATCCATGAAAAAAATGAGCTTTACGACTGATTTGTGAACCAGATTTCACAAATCGTATATTAATGTCACTGCTTATTGAATCAATGAGAATTTTGAACTTTAGCAAGCTTTGCTTTCTATTGAAGAAATGCCTTACAATCACACTGGCATAAATATAGTCACCAAATTACAACATATACTTGATCGGTAACATATTAATTTACAAAAACAAATTCTTGTTGACATAAGTGATAATAATAAAAAAGTATTAAAAGCTTTTCTTGTTGTGTTCATACTATTTACTTGGCAGTTTCTGATGGGCTCCGAGATGATTTTGGTCAAAAATTATTAAAAAGAGTTAAGTCTCTCAATCTTTTTCTTGTACATCATAACAAATACCGGAGTCATTTTTTACAAATTCAAAAAGCTCTTCAACTTACCAAAGAATCACTTTCTCCAATTCAAGATGTCGATACTCAATGAAATTCTACCTACAAAGTTCTTGAAAGACTTCTTATATTAAAATAATCAATTTGATCTATATATAAAGCAATGCAAGAAGATAATGATCATGAAATTTGCAAAGATAGAAATACTTTAGCTATATTATATTTGACAAGAGATAATTAGAATAATATCGAAGAATTAATATTGGTTCTTCGACTTTTTGAACAAGCTACAAAATTCTTAAGTGATATAACTTACTCAAATTTATCTATTCTTTATCCTATAATTGCAAGTCTTTTTCAACATATGTGATATAAATCCAATAACTTACTTGTTTTATAATCATTCAAATTCATGATTCTATTTTAGAATTAATAGCAAAACATTGAAATAATTTTCAAGATTTTGGATTATTAGCATCTTTATTAGATCCTCACTTTAAATTTTTATCTTTTCAAAAAAAATATATATATTTTCTTTAGTACATAATCTTTATATAAAACTGAGCTTGTTTTATGAAATTCTATATCTATAATTGATCTTTTTCTATGTTATAATTTTTGATTAATATAGTTGATAAATCAAAATTACAAATTTTTTTGAATCTTTTAGATCTTTTTTCAACTAAAAAAATGATCTAATTCAATGATAAAAAGTTCATTATAAAACTTTTACAATTATTAAAATTGCTTGTCATTATTTATTAATTTCTGTAAGCTCAGTTTTATCTAAAAAATTATTTTCTAGTACAGAAAAAATCTTTACTAAAAATAAAATTTGACTTGATTTAATAACAGTTTTAGATTTATTATTTTTAAAAGAAAATTTACTATTATTTCTAGATAATACAAATAAATATTGATAAATATAAATAAGATATATAATTTAATTAATAAAATTAGCTAGTTATAATTAAATTATATTTGGTTAACTATAATTAATTATAAAAAAATATATAATCAAATCTTTCTATAATTATTATTCTCAGAAAAGCAAATTTGATAACTATAGAAATGATATGACTATAAAGAAATTTTTTACTATATTTATATAAATAATAAAACAAAATAGAGTAACTATAACTATAAATAAATGTGAATATAGAGAGATTTAACTATATTAGATATATAAAATACTAGTAATATTATAATAAACTTCAAATTTAATAATAAAAGATAAATAAAAAAATTTAGTTTAATAAAATATAAATATTTTTATATCTAATAAAGTGAATTAAATTAAATAAGTTTTGATATTATTAAAAAAATCTAGTCAAGATATATCTAATAATATTAAAATTATTTACTAAATACAAAAATATTATGTCTCAAAAACACAAATATTTTTATATTCGGTGAATTAAATTAAATAATTTGATATTATCAAAAAGATTTAGTTAAAATAAAAATATTATATTTAAAAATATTTGTCAAAATCTTTTCAAATTTATTTTGGTAAAGTTTTAATGTGTTATATACTAATTATTAATTAGAATTTTGGCAAAATTTCAGTTTCAACAATTTTCAAAATTTAGCAAAATTTTGGTACTTTATTTACTAATAATTTATTATAATTTTGACAAAATTTAGATAATTACTGTTATTATTATTATCAAAAATTTCGTAATTACTTAATTTTTGATCAATAAAAATTAAGATATATTATAAAGTAAATTAATATAATATTATATAATTCAATGATAATTAAATTAATTTGTTCCTTTATTTTTATATTATATTTTATTATACAATTATATTTAATATATATTATTATTATTTTAATATTTAAATCATAATACCTAATAATAATCATATTTTTATATATTTTTTGTTTTATTTTCTTTTATTATTTTACTAAATTTATTTATTTTTATATTTTTTATTATAAAATTTATATTTTGCTATTGGTTTATTTTATCTATTATCTCTATTATACTTATTTTTATTTTTATTTTTTTAACCAATCATTTTTATATTTATTTTCTTTTTTTTTCTTTTTCACTTTTACTATAATTATTCTTTTTATCTTTTAAATCTTTTGTTATAATTATTTATAATCATATTTATATTATTGTTTTCTTTTTTTATAACACTTTTTTTTACTTAAACTCTTGCTTTTTTTCATTTTTAATTACTAAAATTGCAACTAATTTTCTTTTATATTTTCTTGTTAATAAATTTTTTAATGTTTATTCTCTTTTTGTATTATTAGTATTGTTGTATAATAGAATTTCACATTAATTATTAGTCAAAATTATCATTTAATCTTATTGAGAACACATGTTTATATTTAATTAGTTAAGACCTTCTTATTTATATTTTGTATTACATTATTATTTGTATTATTATTTATATTATTATTTGTATCACATTTATATTATTATTTACAAATAA